GAACACAGTACCTACAGTCAAATATGGTGGAGGTTCAAAGATGTTTTGGGGTTGTTTTGCTGCCTCTTGCACTGGGTGCCTTGACCGTGTGCAAGGCATCATGAAATCTGAAGATTTCCAAAGGATTTTGGGTCGCAATGTAGGGCCCAGTGTCAGAAAGCTGGCTTTGTGTCCTAGGTCATGGGTCTTCCAGCAGGACAGTGACCCCAAACATACTTCAAAAAGTACCCAGAAATGGATGGAAACAAAGCGCTGGAGAGTTCTGAAGTGGCCAGCAATGAGTCCGGATCTAAATCCCATTGAACACCCATGGAGAGATCTTAAAATTGCTATTGGGAGAAGGCACCCTTCAAATATGAAAGACCTGGAGCAGTTTGCAAAAGAAGAGTGGTCCAAAATTCCAGTTGAGAGGTGTAAGAAGCTTGTTGATGGTTATAGGAAGCGACTGATTTCAGTTATTTTTTCCAAAGGGTGTGCAACCAAATATTAAGTTGAGGGTGCCAATCATTTTGTCTGGCTCATTTTTGGAGTTTTGCATTAAATTATATCATTTTTGGCTTTTTTCTGTTTTTTTTGTGTTGTTCCAATACACACAAAGGAAATAAATGTGTATAACAAAACATGTGTAATTGCAAAAATTTTCTGGGAGAAATACTTAATTTTCTGGAAAAGTTTCAGGGGTGCCAACAATTTCAGCCATGACTGTATGTTGTTTCTTCTACTTTCATTAGTTGAACGTAACCATATTAAGTTGCATGTAGGACATAAAGATGGTTAGTCCAGTTTTTAGAATTTACTTGTCACTTTTATGTTCAGTGAATTCTTTCATATTACATTGTATGTTTAACAGTCATTTAATAAAGTTGAGGGGAACTACTTGACGGAACATTTTCCAGAAAATTCAACTGTTTTTAACTCACCTATCAGCTAGCTGAGAGAAGTACATCATGGTATGTAAGGAAAATGAGCCATGATTCCTGCTTCATATTGACCTAAAGAAAATGTGTTTTTTGATTCAAATATGTCAAAGAGTTACATCAACACCGGTGCTGTCTTTCAGTTTGTTTCTTTTTTTATTAAAACTGTGTTGATACAAGATATTTTGTTCATCTGGCTAAGCATTTCAGGTTACCTTACATTTTACACAGCAATGTGCAGTAAATGAATTTAATTTGCATGATTTAGATGAGTTAGTCATTTGTAGATGAAACAAAATATATTGCATCGCACAATTCTTACCATAAGAAGAAAACTGAGACAGCAATTTTGTTGATGCATTATATTTTGTTCATCTGCAACTGACTGAAACATCTCAAACATGTAAATTAAATTAATTTACTGTGTATTGCAATGTAAGGTAACACGAAATGCCCATGTTTTCTTTCCTTTTTCATTTGTGTAGATTATAAATCTCTAACATGATTCAGTTCAAAAAAGTAAATTTTAGCAAAAATGTACATGTTGACAAGTTGAAATGTCTAAATACCTACATAAAATGTAGCTTAGACTCAACCTGATATGTCTGTTTTCAGTGTGTTTTTTTCATTTTGTGTAACAGAGCTCCATTATGAATATGAATCTTTGAAATAAATGCCTTGTCTCTAAGCAGGAGACAAATTTAGCTCATGAGTTCATGTAAGATTTCAAAAAATATTCCTGTGAAGGATGAAGGTGGCACTAGAACTTTTTGTCTTTGTTAGGAGGAATATAATGCTGACAAATGCCCTGCGGTGCTTCAGAGCCATTTTTTTCAGTCTGTTTATCATCATCATGACCTTGATGGTCTATGAATAGCAACATCTGTTGATTTATGTACAGCAGAGACAAAGATAAGCAGTTTCACCGCATTAAAAGGAGGAGGCATGTGGACGCTGTGGGGGGTAAATAAATTGCTCATGTTATCCAAAAACAGAGTGAGTTTCCTCTGTACATGTGTGTAGTGCTTTGTGAAGTTGTTTATTAGTCATAGATGTTCAGATAAAGGCAGGAAATTTAAGAAGCAGTGAGTGGGAGTTTTTTGAGAAAGCACTTTCTGTTCTTATTGATGCTGCTGCTTAAGAAACCTAAGCTGCACAGCTAACAACTATTAGCTGAAGAGCTCAAAAGAGCTATACAGGACTTTTGCTCACAAAGTCTGTCACTGCCAAAGTTTTATTCTGAAAGACATTATACTCAGAAACTATTTTAAAAGGGCCTACTTTTATAAAGTGCACTGCCCTTACAAAACGCAGTGAATAAATTGTACTTTAGTGAAAAAAGACCATAAAGAGATGAAAGAAAACAGGAGAGCATTTCCTTGACATTTTGTCATTTAAATGTGAAGTCACAGCAGAGCTCAGAGGGAAAAGTGTGTTCACTCAGCCACATGTTGATCACAGCAAAACCAACTGTCGTTAGTTTTCAATTTCCCTAACTCTTCAGCCGTCTACTGTCCATCCTCACATTTGGGATGAAAGTTGAGGTCAGTACAGAAACTCCATTTTGTGTGGCCTCTTTTGTTCTATTCTGAACCACTAAAAAGTTTGATGGTTGATGTTCAGTTGTGTGGATGGTCAGTACTGAACTGGCAAAGTGTTGGAAAGTGGGAACCCACCTAGCAAGTATGTTTTTTTGAAATCTGGAGAAGCGTCCACAGGGTGGTGTCTTGTGCCTGGATTTTGAGGAAATTTGTTATTCTGTAAAAGGAAAAACACATTTAAAAACTGAGATTCTGATTAGCCCTACATGACCTGTATGCAATTAGAGCTAGGCACTCATTTTGGTTCATAAATGCTTCTTGCAACCATACGATTGCTGCATCTCACTTTTCAGCAGCAAGACATTTAAGGATTTATTTATCTTAAACTGTAATTCAATCTTACAAAAGCCAGACTGTTTCAGTTTATTTTTCTGAGATATGATGATGTAACTGTGACACTGTTAGCTTTCTATCTCTGAAATGTTGTGACTCTGTGTTGAGCTGCTAGTGAGCAATGCTGGGTGAAATGAGAGGGGTGAGGCAAGGCAAGTTTATTAATATAGCACCTTTCATACACTGCTGTCATTCAAAAAGCTTTACAAATGAGGCTTACACTACACAAATTTTACCCCGATTTTAGCCCCGATTCTCAGTCTGGCTGAGTCTGTGCTGGTTGGCTCTAGTCTGCAAATTTTTTGGTCAGTCAGAGTCGACAGTCAGAGAGTAAATCGAGTAGTGTGTGAGGGGCGCAGACTCAGATTTTTGGCCTCCTGATTGCTTTTCAGACCAGAGTTTATCAAACGTTTGATTTTTTCGACCCAACTCTGAGCGTAAACTAGTGTAAACTGATTAACGACTCAATCTGAACAGATTCCTGCAACAGTCAATGAAAACTGAGAGTGCGAAAGAGGAAGATACAGCCAGTAAACAAAAAAATTGCCGAAAAGTCACTTGTGTGGAGCAAAGCTGAGCTGAGTTTTAGGCACGAGCGCAATTGAGTTTATGTACATATAAAACTAAGAAAATACCTCACTGATTACATTTTTAAATCAATGAGCCTCACTTAAACATGTTTACCTGCTGCTTCTTTACTGTGTCAGCGCAAACGGCAGAGAAAGCAGCGGCAGCAGCAGTGAGCTGCCTTTGTTTATTTGCGTCTCCTAGTAATAGGAGAATGCGAGACTTTGCGTGAGTTCAATAAGTTCCCTTCGCTTCGGCAAAAGCTTAACAGTCGAGTAGTGTGTGATCCCTAATCATTCAGTGGCCGAAACAAAAAATCCGCAAAAAAACAGTCAGATAGTGTGAGATGCCCAGTCTTTTTATAATCTATGAAGACTTCTAAAGTCGTGCAGTGTATCCAAAGGTTAAATTAAATGAGAACAGAAATTAAAAACATGATTATAATATAATTAAAATGATTAATAGATTTAAAATAAAAAAATCTTTAAATTAAAAATCAATCTAGAAATTAAATTAGGATAGTTAAAAAAAATCAAAGTTAAATTTAAGCTAATTGAAAATTGAAAGTTAGATTTGGATAAAAAAAAAGTGCTGTTACAGAGAAAAGGGGGCTAGAAATGCTAACAGTGTTTAAAACTGACAGCCTGCTCAAATAGGAACGTTTTGAGCCTGGATTTAAAAGCGTCCAGTGCCAGGGCTCCTCTAATGCTCTCTGTCAACTGGTTCCATTTAAGAGCAGCACAGTAGCCAAACACTGCTTCTCCATGTTTAGTCTACACCTTCGGCAGGACTAACTGACCAGTTCCTAAGGATCTGAGAGTTCTGCTCGGTCATATCGCTGCACCATATGAAATAAATATGCTGGTCCTGCACCACTGAGCAATTTATAGACCAGTCTATAAATATAGTCAGAATAGACTATATGGATCATTCTCAGCACTGCAGGAACACTGACGTGGTGGTGGTGTGTTAGTGTGTGTTGCGCTGGTACGAGTGGATCAGACACAGCAGTGCTGCTGGAGTTTTTAAACTCCTCAGTGCCACTGCTGGACTGAGAATAGTCCTCCAACCAAAAATATCCAGCTAACAGCGTTCTGTGTTCAGCGTCCAGTGACCACTGATGAAGGACTAGAGGATGACCAACACAAACTGTGCAGCAGCAGATGAGCTATCGTCTCTGACTTTACATCTACAAGGTGGACTGACAAGGTAAGAGTGTCTAATAGAGTGGACAGTGAGTGGACACAGTGTTTATAAAAATCCAGCAGCACTGCTGTGTCTGATCCACTCGTACCAGCACAGCACACACTAACACACCACCACTATGTCAGTGTTACTGCAGTGCTGAGAATGATCCACCACCCAAATAGTACCTGCTCTGTGAGGGTCCATGGGGGTCCTGACCACTGAAGGTCAGGGTAAAAGGGGGCTAACAAAGTATGCAGAGAAACAGATGGACTACAGTCTGTAACTGTAGAACTACAAAGTGCACCTATATAGTAAGAGGATCTGATAAAATGGACAATGAGTGTAGAAACAAGGAGGAGGTCATAATGTTATGCCTGATCGGTGTATACTAGACCGTAGTATAACTTTGTAAACAGGTATTTAAGGAAGTCATCTAAGGCAATACCCTGGTACAAGATTAAGGAAAAAGTCATATCTTTATGACATACGAGCAGAAAGGATGCCTGTGTAACGGACTTTATCCTAAGAGATTAGCCACTTCGTTTGCCCTGTTTTTTTAAACTCAGTGCCAGTAAACCCATAAGGTAAAGCATTTTATTTACATGTGACTAAAAGTGCTACCTTTATGAAGAGGAGTTGTGTTTCTTTACAAGAATAGTTTAAAAAAAGTCCCCATTCTGGTGATCTTGGTTATGTGGCGATAGCACGTTTACCTTTAGTGATGGAAATTCTCAACTTTTTCACTAGGTCAGATCAATTTGTTCTACTCACCAAGCAGCTCTTTTGCCCATCCAGCACTTAAACTGATCGATGAAATCTTTTTTCTGCAAACAGAACAGCGTTTATTTTAGATTGCCATTGTTAGATAAACTACTTAAATAAAGGTAATAAGAGCAAAACATCTTGCCATTCTTGCTAGATTTGGCTCTGAAATGATATGCTACACTGAAACTGTCAGATGATGACAAGTAGTTTCACTCAAATCATTTGTCTCAGCTTTATTACTTCTAGCTTTTAGCCAACTTATTCACAAATAACACATCACAAAGCTTTACAGCGTCTTCCATCCATGTGAAGTCACCACCGTCTCTTTCCAGCTGCAAAATGCTTTCTAGGAAGCAAGGAGGAAGTGAATGATTCATATTCCATCTTTGTTCCTGGTGAAATGATCACTATAAAATAGTAGATGAATTGATATAAACCAACAAGGACTATAAACAAGCACTAGGAAGACAACACCTGACCTTTATTAGTTTCAGTCTTTTTTTCTGCATGGAAACAAGGAAACAAAAATATGACTTTATAATTGATTTAGGATGAGCTTAACTGTAAGGAAAAACCAGCTTACATTTAAATCAGCAGTTTACTCAGAACTTGGCCTTGAGTCACACCTGAGTCACACTGCCACTCTGGGTTCTATTTCTGATAGTCTATATTAATGCAATTCTTTCTCTCATCATGTGCCAGTTAATCCATGCTGAATAATGTGATTTTTTAATGTTGCTGTTATTCCTAAAAGCATCAAAGTATTAAAATATGCATAAATATAGACAAACTGTTTCAAGACTGCATGGCCATAAAAAAACTGTCTTAGGCTGGAAAAGGTGGAAAATATCCAATATTTTGCAGCATTTTGCTGCATTCTACTCAAGCCCTTTTTTAATTCTTGTCTTCTTAGCGCCATCTTTGTTTTGTTGCTGGTGTTGTCCATTTTCGTATGATTTTCATATGAATTGCTCAGCAATACAAAAACATACGCACATAGAAAACAGCCTGTTCAGTTTCACTGAAGACTACCGCACCACTGCCGACTTTGACCAGGCTAATTTCTACCCATGCCACAAAACCCATTAACTGACCAATTACAATCAGCAAAGCAGTAGACTCTGTTGTGTTGTTTAGAGTTTGTTATTAAATTTATGTTTCCTAAGATATTTTCATAAATGTAACCAGTACAAAAATAGTTTACATATTTTGCTGCTCCCACCTTGATGGTGTTTTGTGTTTTAGTTAACTAGTTTATTTCATAAAGTTATAATTAGTAGATGTTTAGTTTCTGCTATTTTTGTAGTCTTAAGACTGCTATAATCAGAGTGTCCACTTGTTGTTTTCTCGTTCCACCTTAAATATAACTGCTGCAACATCAAAGGTGGAACAGGAGAATTTGAACTAGAAGCTGACGAATGAGAAGCTGAATTCAGCTTCGCGCATTTTTAGCGGTTAACAGTTTCTCATTGCAGATTAAACGTATAAGGAAACTAGGTGGAGTGATTATAAATGCATATAAATTAACTCCAGCGTTTAAGACAATTCATCTTTAAAACAATGTTAGAACGATCAGCAGAGCTTTGTTTTACTACAAAGGAGGATTATTTTATTTGTACCTAAAAATCTAATTCTGCTGTGAAGCCGCAACAGAACCAGCAATAGAGCTCCGGAGCCGCAAGTTGCCGACCCCTGACCTAGCCAATAATACTGCTGCACTCAAACAGCTAATCAGAACACAGCATTCAGGAAGCCAATTAGAGCACAGCTTTGAGCTAGCCAATCAGATTGCAGAATTCAATCAGTCAATCAGAGCCCAGCATTCAGCTAACCAGTCAGAACACTCAGGCAGCCAATCAGACTGCAGGATACAGGCTGCCAATCAGAATACATGATTCTGTCTACTAATCAGAGCGCCAATCACAACACAAGGGTGCCAGTTAATAGAGATTAGCTGTCTTAGGATGATCTGTACTGTACTCACATACCACTTCTGGAGTCTTAAACTGGGAGAAATTTGACCTGAGAAGAGAGCTATTCAGTGGGCGTTGACTGGCTACTCCAGCATTGGCTGACTGCTTACTTACTCGCCAGAGCGGTGCTGATGCTAGCTTCAATGGCAAGATGGTTGGTTATACAATTCTTTTTTTGGAAATACTTTTTTCTAGTTTGGTAATTTGGTCTTCCACACATTCACTGAGATCTTACACAGCTCCTCTTTTGCCTTCGGTTTAGGAAATGAGTAACAATTCACTCTTTCCACTTGTCTCTTGGGAAATTTGGCAAGTTTTCAGATTTACAAATATTCTGTTGCATACTGTAAAGTTTTTCAGAGGTATCTCGGGCACAGTTACAGTTGCTAGGCTATGAAGGACCAACTGGGTCAACCAATATGCTATAGACCCACCCTGAGGCTGACCAGGGCTGCATCTCTAGTTAGTTAAGAATACTGAACACAGAGTTGCCTGTTTGTGGTTGAAGCAGGCTGAACAATGACCTTTCTCTGAATGTGTATGCGTGTTTCCCTAACGGACAGTATAACAACATAATTAGTTTATCTTCAGAGACCTTGCAGAATTTTGAATTTAAGACATTCAGGGGATCCAAGAGGTTAATTAGGGGGTTCTAGACCCCCCCCCCAGGACCCACCGTATTTTGCACCTTGCTTATAAATGAAAATAAAATTCATATTTCAAATTGAATTTCATTTTTAATTCATATGTTATGACCACCATAAATGAAATATCTGTGAATAACACTGACCAGCACCATCCTGAAGTTTCAGTGATTTTGTTATTTTATTAGTAAAGATTTATTAGTTAAAATATGTTTTCTAAATGTAATTATGGCATGTAATTTTGTTCTGGACATTGCTGTGTGAAACTTAATCAGAGTCACATCAAACAGTCCTTCACTTCAGTCATTATTTCTCTGACCCTGACCTAATACACCGTACACGTGATCAGAGTCACCTGCGTGCATGCAGACTGCAGCAGCAGCAAAAGCAGAAAGTACAGCGCCCTCTACTGGGTCCAAATAGCACACTATATCTACTAGTGCCTTTGTTATTGTGAACATATATTTCAGAACTTTAAATGGATCTTCATGACTATCCATGTAACCGTGTTTCTTCCATTCTTTCTGTTATCCTTATGCCATTATTACATTATATAAGGTCTTTTCCACTCATATTGCTCATACTTCTCACCTGCCTTGCTATTTTTTCACCATCTTGCTGAGTCATTTCATCGAATATACACTTCCATAAACAAATTAGCAGATCATTTATTCAATTAAGTTCAAAATTCAGTTTCAGTAGGTGGTTGAATCAGCTGCTTTTCTATTCTATTTCAGCACACTGTATTAAAATGCACTCTGAAGATTAATGAGGTGTTTTTATGGGACTCCTTTTCACTAGACATCATCAAGTTAATTGTACTGGCAGGCCTTTCATTTGACTTATTTATTTGATTTAACACTACATTGGTCAGGTAGAGTGGCATTTTTTTTTTTTGCAGCTGCCATTTCCAAAGGGTCCAGAGGGGGGAGGTAATGCTTTGTGACAAGATAACAACAAGGCTGTAATGGAGGTTAACTGCTTTGTATTGTCAATTTTTGAAATCTTTCATTTCACTGTGTATATAGTGCTATTTATCAGACCTCAGCAACAACAACTGCAGAAGAAACAACAACAACAATCAGCACCAGCATCATATAGAAAATCGCACATACAACCGAAGATGTACTATTATTTGCTCATTTCTTTCATCATATCTGTTTCATTATATCAATATTGCCAAAGATTATTTTATAAGCGTAACAGTTTAACTACAGTGTGAAAATTTGCTCACAATTATAACATCATTTGTTGTGACTTTTTTTAAATGTAACTATCAGAAAATTGTGATGCATTAACATTTACCAACATCACTTACACAAAGTATAAGCTTTATCGCTGCTGTGAAAGCTAATGAGACGCTGTGAAATCTGTCATTAGGATATGTCATTAAAATGGCCTAATGTAGCCATAATTCAAGCAGTGAAACAGGCAAGACCAGATTATTAATATAGCACATTTCATACAGCAGGCAGTTCAAAGTGCTTTACATAAATACTAATTATTATTATGAAGGTTCTAATTATCTCTCATACAGATGAAAAATGAACTAGAAGTAGAACTATAAGCTCCACTGTTTTCCATTCTGGTTAGTTCTGTGCGCTTTCATTCTTACATGTAAATATTTGTACAATATTTAGCAGGAAATGCTCTACACTAGCAACTACATATCAGTGTGTAATCTAAAAACAGGGCGTAAAATTATTGTTTGTAAAAATCAGCTATAAATCCAATATCTGTCAGATAACAATAATTAGCTTTTCCCATTTACTAGCAAATACTATATCAGCCGCCATTATATTGTGCACCCCAGTACATCTCCATTAAGGCAATGGTTGTGAATCCCACTGCTCTGCAGATTTTCACATTTCCCCTGTCTTAATTACAGCGGGCTCCAAAAGTCTGAGACCACTGGTGAAAATGAATTGCTTTCTAATTTAATACAAAGTTTGATTACAAATATTTTCAGCGTAATAATTTGAATCTTCGAATGTTTACATGAATTTCAGTAATATGCTCAGTTCCCTTTGCCTTGACACAAGATCTCATGCTTAGAGTCTGTTCATTTCATTAGACTAACAGCTCATAGCAACACCACAGCAATCATGTCCACTATCACCAAGGCAGTGGAAGATTCTCTTTATTTTATTGTTTTTATTGAGATGCTGCCATTTTCATAAGCAACCATGAATGCTGTGGCTCTAATATTCCTACAGCAAATCAATGGCAGGCAAATCATGCTAAATGTTATTAGAGACCATGCTAACTTATTCAAATAGATGTCCTTTTTAAACAAATGCTGTCATGATGGGTAAGGCCACAGTTAAGGCAGAGCTGCTTCCAGGAGGACATTCATGTTTGTCTGTGCTGTGCTCCTCCGGCCCTGTTGCTATGGTAAACTGACTCTCACTGCTGCTGAAGCCTTGTGGGTCGTCCTCCTTG